AGAACCAGTCAATGTTGTGCTTATGCCGGAATCTGAATATTCAGTCTTAACTTATTATAATTAATATATATTAAAGGTTTAGATTTTCCCTATTTAGAATTATTTACTTTGCCTATGACACTTCACCTAGAGTCAGAGATGTCCGAGGTCAAATAAAGTCTGACGGTTCATGCTGTGTACGCTGACTGACCTGATTGTCTCCCAGCTTTAGGCGCAGATCTGAGCCCCGGGATCGCGCAGTCCTGCCCAATTGCAGACAGCGACTGCCGCACGCCCCCATTGATATCAATGCGACCGCGCGACAACAGCTCGCCAGCTCAATCGCCTGGGTGTGAACCTAGCCTTAAACAAAACAAAACTTTTGGAAAAAAAGTTTATGGACTCGTCATCTTCCTAACAGTCAACACACATCTATGAATTTGGGTTTAGGGTTCAAGTGCACAAGGGGGGGGAGGTGCGACAATAGGAAGGTGACACAACATCATGTATGTAAAAAATGTCTGAACTCTCACCCAGAAGTGCTGTGAAAATCCGGATGAGTCTGAGCTTAAAGGTGAATTAAAAAAGGTTTTTGACTTCTGTTTACTAATAAAGCAATGGCCATAATATGTGTCCAGTGACAGCCAGGTCACTTTTTCGGATTTAACTAAAACTTAAACTTATGTTTTTTTTCCCCCTCTTGTTTTCCAGCTCCCATAGCTGCAGGAACGGGTCCGAATTTCCCCATTTCAGATCTGGACAGCTCTTCCTATTACAGCATGAGCCCCGGAGCAATGAGAAGGTCACTACCCAGTACCTCCTCCACCAGGTGAGTAGCACCCTACAGTGTGTGTGTTTGTGTGTGCAGACTCCGGTGGTGGTCAACGTACTCGATATAGGGGGCCTCAATTGTGGCCTCTGACATTATCAAAGGGCCACACATAATATTAGGTCAATGCTACAGGAAGCTAAAGTCAGAGACATGCAACAGGAGATGGTAAAAGATTACAGGCATGCTATAACATAACAGATGGTCAGAGACTGCAGGCATGCTACAAGAGATGGTCAGAGACTACAGGCATGCTACAAGAGATGGTCAGAGACTACAGGCATGCTACAAGAGATGGTCTGAGACTGCAGGCATGCTACAAGAGATGGTCAGAGACTACAGACATGCTGCAATAGATAGTCATAGACTACAGGCATGCTAAAAGAGATGGTCAGAGACTACAGGCATGCTACCAGATATGGTCAGAGACTACAGACATGCTGCAAGAGATGGTCCGAGACTACGGGCATGCTACAAGAGATGGTCAGAGACTACAGACATGCTGCAATAGATAGTCATAGACTACAGGCATGCTAAAAGAGATGGTCAGAGACTACAGGCATGCTACAAGAGATGGTCTGAGACTGCAGGCATGCTACAAGAGATGGTCAGAGACTACAGACATGCTACAAAAGATGGTCAGAGACTACAGACATGCTAGTTGTTGAAGCTAGGGAACATTTTATAGGGGACAGTCATAGATGTATGGTGTGGTACTGCTAGAGATCACTGCTATTACAATTCAATGCTTCTACAATTGTGCTCTGCACCCTTCCTTCTGGAGGGGGGGCTACTTTTGTTCCCCATTGTCCCTGTCTGTGTTGTAAAGTAGTCACTGCTCCAAGCTCGCTTCTGTGATGGACTACAGTCTCACGTTTAGTTTACTCATTTATATTGAGATTGTAGTCCATCCCGGGAGTGAGCTTGGAGCGGTGACTACTTTACAACACACACAGGGACCATGGGGAACAGACGTAGCCCCCCCTCCAGAAGGAAGGACAGTGTCAGCACCAATTCAGAGATGATTGGAGGATCTACAGCCGAGTGATACACAAATAAGGTACATTGTTGTTCATAGTTAAGGTACTTGAATACATTTTTAGGATTTAACTCCTGAGTTTAGTGTCACTTTAATGTTCCATCTCCGTCACTACTGGACTATAGATGGACTTATTTATACTGAAGGCCGATTGATACATTGTTACTTTTTTTAATACCAGCTCAGCGAAGGATTGGTCGAGTTAAGTTGCTGCCATGTATATTATTTTTATATGCTGAAGTGCTCCGAAGGAACCAATTTGTTTCTTTCTAAAGTAATGTCTTTGTTTCTCATTGCTGTTATTTCCTCAGGCTGGTACGGATCTGACAGTGTTTCAGTTTAAATAGATTCTTCAGTTTCTTTATTATTTATTGTGATCAGACAAGAGCAGACCGTCATGTACAGCCTTTACCCTAAGAGAGTGGTTTGCTAAAGCACCGTATATCATATCACAATGAAAGACTTAACTTGCTATTTTAATTATCAGAAAATGTATTTTTTAATAATTAAAATCAAAATATATGTTTTCACCATTTTTCATCATTTGTTGCATCTCAGTGCTTCTGATCCCCTGCAGTCACTTCATGTCTACATACACACAAACAATGGCTGCATAGCATTTCTCAGGGCAGGTAAGCTGATGGTGACAACAGTGGATCATGCTTGCATTAAATATGTTAAAATGGCCACTTGTAGTCTTCTGTGGAAACTCCTGTGACAGGGTGACAATGGAGAAGCATAGTTGGGAGAAAGGTACATTGAGTTGTTATCCTATAACAGGAAGTGTCTGAACAAGGGTTTTCATAGTGAGGAACACACAGTGAAACTACATCAACATGTTAAAACTTATATGAGATTTTTCTGATTGGGATTAAAGCTACTTTAACGACCTTGGTAATCAGCCAGAGAGTCAGCATGTCACCTGCAGGAGCAGGCATATGATGTCAAGCTAGGTAAACATATGCCTGCTGGTCAGTTTTACTGGTTAAGCTATGGCACAGGCCATGTTTTTTTTAAACTGCCTTGGTGATGAACCATGTTAAGTGTGCAACTGCTTGTTGCTTCCTTCATGAGTAAGGCTGGCTACTCATTCTTGGTCACCAGACCGAATTCACAGCTCAACATTGTCTCCAGTGGGCAGAGCTGCACCAGCCATGGCCACAGAAAAAGGTGTTGGCTTAAGGGCAGGACAAAAGATGAGCAGTGATATGCCATAAACCAGAATTCCGATTGGTTGCATCTCCTTACATCCAAAGCAGCCTATCAAATATGGATATAAGCACACCAGACCTCTAAGAGCTACATTTTGATTGGTTGATATCTGTATCTCCTTGCTTTCTACACTTTCATGCTAACATTACAAGTTAGGTTTGCCCACCAACATTCCTTTCCTTCTCTCTCTTTACAAGTTCCACGAAGCGCCTCAAGTCTGTAGAGGACGAAATGGATAGCCCTGGAGAAGAGCCATTTTACACAAACCAGGGAAGATCACCAGGAAGTGGCAGCCAGTCGAGTGGATGGCACGATGTGGAGCCAGGTAATCCACTAACCTTTGATGGCATTTCATTAAGGGGATTGACGGATGTTAGCTTAGAGGCCTTCAGCGTCCACAGAGAGTTGTGTATCCTACACTGCGGACTCACAGCGTTGTACATTTTTCCAGTGTTCACTGTACTCAGCAGAGCATATCCTCCTTTGTACGGTTGAAGGACTTTGTGTTTAGATGTAATTTGGGTCATTTATACTAGAGTGCACCATGAAAGCCACGTGTAACAGCTCAAGTGTCACATGACCGCTTTGCTATCTCTTCCCTTTTTGTCTACCTACTAATGCTATAAAATGATGGAATAATGATTGTTGTGGGAGATATTGAAGCTCACTAGGCTTCATATAAAAACAAATCAAGCTACAGGTTTGGAAACTTAAAACCTAAAAAAGTGCCCTCTCTCCATCCTCAATAGACAAAAAGATGGCCACAGCCAATGGACATGTTTATGTCAAGACCTTCAGAGGAAAGAACTTTAGATGTTTGTAGGCATCTCAAGGCTGGCTGGTGATGGATGTCTGGCTATGGGCATTGGGACATCTTCCCAACCATGAACCTTCTAAGACCAGCCTTGATGTTTACTAGCAAGTCAGTGAATGAGTACAATCAGCATACGTGTCTTAACAACCTATTCCTGGGGGGCTACATCCAGTGCCAGTGCCCGTGTCTTTGGACAGGTTACTCAGGCAATGGCGTATATGTCTCCAATGAAAACATTTAATCATAGAATTTGCAAGTTTGTTTTAATAGGAACCAGCTAAGATAGACATTTAGAAGCTGCTCATGCTTTCTTCTCATCTTAGCATGTCATTGGCCTTAATCCTGGTTCAAGGATGAAAATGGCAGCCTTGGAGGTGCCCCCTTAAAGAAAAAAGTCAGCAGTGATAGCTCCTATATTCTTACCTAATTTTTTGAGGGACACAACACATGACCTTCCTTTGACAAAAATGAATTGAGCTCCTGGGATTTTTCCAACCCTGGCCTGCTCAAAGGTTGAACTCCTAAAGCAAGATTGAATCAAAATGTAACAAGACAAAGACAACGTTACAATTATTTGTCCGTCCCAGAGCTTCTCTCACTGCTGAGGATTCTGGGAGATTTGTGAAGGTCATCAGCCTCTACTCCCAGTGTTCATCTATGGGACTGTTCCAAGACATGGGTGCAGCTAGCCATAACAACCAATCAGAATGCATCCTCTACTGTTCTTGTTACAATCAAGTATAATCTGCTTGCTATGGGTTACTGCACTTTTATCACCATGATTGTTTGTGGTGCCTTATTACATTAGCATGTAGCAACATAGTATTGTTATTACCATTATTGTACTATTGCCTTATAACAATGCAGTATTATTTTCAACATTCAAGATGGTACCTAAGGTTGTATATAGTGAGACGCTAAGTCAGAATATACTTGTCTGTGTAAAACTGAACAGTACTATGGACACTCAATGTGTGCTTTAAGCCTTACCATTATTTTATGCGTTTCCAACGCATTTCACTACGATCTCGGAAGAGGCGCATAAGAGGATAAGAAAAATAGCAGGTAAGACGGAGCAACTTTGCGCACGGTCACAACGTCAGACAGATGCAAGAAAAAGCTGCTTGTGATACCGTTTTGTTTTGGCTGTTTTTGGGAGTAAGCACTCGATCATTATACCCATGAATCTTGATTGCCTTGGCTTTTTTTTTTTTTTTTTACTTAATTTTTGTTTTCCTGGAAAGACTTTGTATCGTTCTCGCACGCACAAATGTTACTGTCATTTATATACTTAATATGCATACAGGAGGATGTTCAGAAGGATTGGCATACATTTTTGGTAAAGTGAACCTGTACACTGATGGTAAGACTATTCTGATACCGTGTTTCCCCGAAAGTAAGACCTAGCACTATCTTCAGGGAACGGGAAAACACGGTAGTCCTCCACTGTTAAACTCATACATAGAGAAAAAGGATGTGAAAATTATTTCTACGGAAAATTGATGTACCGCTTGTCTCCAAAAAGCCGATCATATGACCACTGCTAAGTGCTGATTGGCTATCTCTGCCTAAAGGCAGTCCTTCAAGCCCCTTTCAGCAGAGACCATATAAACATTGCCGTGGCATTGGTCATGTCATGTGTGTTTACTAGCACGATTGTCAGTTTAGCTAATCTGAGTATAGATCCACTTTATAGGTCACACGTCTTCAATTTTTTTTTGTCTTCAGTAGTGCTGTACAAAGTGAGAACTGTACGGGGAAGAAGGAGGGGGAGAGAGAGAGTGGAGGGGGAGAGAGAGAGAGTAGAGGGATTGAGAGGGAGATGAAAAGGAGAAGGGATAGATACAAGGTATAAGTCCGATTTATCAGCAGTGTGTTGTATATTGAAGGGTAGTGATTGCAGGAGCCAGGGAAAATCTGGAGGGAGAGAGCAGGGTGTTGTGAATCAAGGTTATATGTCTTTCTGAAAAGATGAGTAATGAAAGTGCATTCTGGTGAATGCCACATGGCATGTGGAAGGGAGTCCCAAAAATGGAAACCAGCACAAGAGAAGTCCTGGTGACATGAGGAAGAAGTGCTAACCTAGAAGCAAGATTGCAGGCCAATGGGAAGATTTAGGACAGGTGCAGATAGGTGAGGCCTTTATACATTTTGGAACTATATGGTGTTGAAGAACCAAATGACGGTCATGAAGACACTCACAACCCTAGGGTTTAGGGGGTTAATTCAGAACCCCTGATTTGCATACTTGCTCCATGTCAGCAACTCAGAATGTGGTGATTGAATCAGTATGACAGCCAGGCTTCTACGTATCTACGTATCTTCAGCAGAGGTACAGATTACCTTTAACTAGGCAAAACCTGTGTTCTAATGAGGTGGTCAGAAAGCCCAGCTTCAGCTAAAGCTTTCATTTTGGATAGGGTGGGGAAGGGGTTATAGGGAGGATTTTCCTTCACTTCCTGTTGGGACAAAAAGTGATGGTTTGGGCCTCCAGCGGCCTACGGTCCCATCATATGACGTCACAAGTTGCCTTTCTCCGCCATTAGGTGGGCTCAGAAAGCTGCAGAGATTGGCAACACATGATGACTCTTCGTGCAGCATTCTCCTGTGGGCCCAGGCCGCAATGATGATATGATGTCCATGACAGCCTGGACTCACAGGAAGTGGGTTGAATACACTAGGTGTCATTCAACATGTAAAGGAAGCTACACTGGATCTTGTAGAAGATTTTCTGCAGGGAATAGCGCTGGAAAGGGGGTGAGTATTGCAGTGGTAGTTGCTTTTTTATGTTTTACCATTATAGCCAATTGATTTTTTTATTTAACAAGCTGCAATTCCACTTTAAGGGCCCATTCACACTCAAGTATTTTATTGCACACACAATAATACGCGTTCAATATGAATTAGCTGCCAACACACCACAACCGATGAAAAAAACCTTTTTTAACAATGCAGCACATAGCAATGCTTGGTATATGTGTCATGATGCGCTGCCATGTTTGGACTCTGCTGTACAATGTGAGTGAAAGCCTTTCATAATGAAATGCACAAGTATGAATGGGCCCCTTCAGTAGGTGACCGTTTTCTTAAGGCAACAAAGTCACTAACGGAGATTTCTGGTGTTATATCTGCTGTCTGAGCAGCATCACCCGCGTCCGCCGGTTGACAGCCAGTGATGGAGCGTTCCTCTCCATATAAATAAATACCTGTATCTGCTTCCTCCTGTAGTCTTCTCAGTATGACTGTTTAATGTATTATCTCATAGGGTCCAGATGTGCAGTGAGTCACAGACCCCGAGAGCGGGAGATCGGTTTTCACGGTCACTGAAAAAGAAAACACTTTCCCGCAGCCCGAGACGTCACCATTCCCCCTCCATAGCCAAGGCCGAGATGTCAAAAAGTTAATGGGGTGCCTCAATGTAAACCATCGCTCCAAGGCACTTTTAGCTCAGCGAATCCCCCCCCCGGCCATCCGGTACTGGGGCTCGAATCTGGTATTAAAAACCTCCCCAGGAATTAGGAATAGACAAACCACACATTGTTTAGATAACCGTTTTCTTAATGTCCTCAGAATGCAACATTTTAATCCTTCATATGATTCTGTATATAGAGTTTTCCAATCCCAGAGCTTTATGGCTGCACCAGAGTGAAATAAGGAAAGGTGAGCTGTCATGATCCCTACCAGTTGTAAAGAGGGATTGTAGATCTAAACTGCAAAACATTCAGTTTGTTGAATCAATACATATCATAGCTACATTACGAACGGCAGGTCAACCTGAGGATCAAAAATAGATGTAAAATTGTAAAACTTTGCTGGAGTGTCTTTCTTTTTTTCTGCCCTCGAAGGCTGCAGCGAATTCAGCTGTGTAATTCTATCTAAGCATGACCTCAGCAAGCACACAGACTGCACCTGGGCAAATAAATAAGTGAGGCTCCGGATTTAAGATGGCTGGGCGTAAGCGAGCAGGGGAGCGCAGGAAGGAAAGAGGTTTGAGATTACCTGCAGAACTTTACCTTTCTGTATGCCCCATCACTCCGCATGCCACATGCTTGGCAGACACACGTAGCCGGTGACAGCTTACAGGCCCGCAGGAGAGAAAACAAAGGCTGCATTTTGTACAAAAGGCAAGCAGATGGAAGGTGTTTCTGCAAAAGCTATTTGTTTCACGGGGCATGGAATACAAATAGCTCCTCTGCCTTTCTGGTCGACATGTTCTAAAGTATACAATGTCTTAAAGCTGAAACATATATATACATATATTCACACACATACTCTCGATAGATAGATAGATAGATAGATAGATAGATAGATAGATAGATAGATATATAGATAGACAGACACAGAGATCAGCCATAACTTATGACCTCCCACCTGATACTGAGTAGGTTCCCCTTCTGACCCATCAAGACATGGATTCCACTAGACCTCTGAAGGTATGCTCTGGTATCTGTCACTGGCAGTAGCAGATCCTTTAAGTGCTGTAAGATGCCAGGTGGCGCCCCCATGGACCGAACTTGTTTTTACAGCACATCCTTGTTGCTGGTTCACCGGTTTTCCTTCCTTGGACCACCTTTGGTAGGTCCAGACCGCTGCAGGCCAGGAACATCCCACAAGAGCTGCAGGTTTGGAGTTGCTCTGACCCAGTTGTCTAGACATCACAATTTGGTCCTTGTCAAAGTCACTCAAGTCCTTACTCTTGCCCTCAACTCAAGGGACAAAATCTTGGCTTGCTGCCTAATATATCCCACCCATTTCCAGGTGCCATTGTAACAATATAATCATTGTTATTCACTTGAACTCCCAGTTATATTATAGATTAAATTTAATCTCAAAGAAATGTTAAAAAGCTGTACAGTCCAGAGTTGCCACGATCAGCATGACATGGACACCCTAGGAAAGCTATTACTCCATGGCATTGGGCTACCAAGAGGGTTGTATCCTTGTATCCAAGTCAGGGCTTGTGGCAATGCGTTTCAAGGTTCTATCCCTTTGGTAAGCCTCTTCTATCCCTTAGAAACTCTATTGGTAATCCCTGCAAGTTCTTGGATCTGCACACCTGCTTTTCCAATTATTCCCACCATCCCTGCTGAATTTTTATTTATTTTCTATTATAGAGAATGTATCTTAATGGGCAACAACACACAAAGGTAGATGAGAACACCCGAATATCCCAGGTTGACAGGAACAAAGACAGGAATTATGGAAGGGAGATCTTGTTGATGGACTATCCAAGATAAATAAAATAGTCAAAGGCTGATATGGCCCACCGGTCTCCACCTATCACTAAAATATCACTTCTTAAGTGGACTAACCCTTAAATATACAGTAATTGCCA